AATTTATTGAGATGCACCTGTATATATATATATATATATATATATACAGTTAAATTTTAAACAATCAATATTTTTGCATTTGCTCTGGAAAAAAAAAATTCAAAAGATTATTTTTTCCCCCTGATCCCCATGAAAAAGACATGATTTGGACCTCTAAATCCCAATTTGTACTAAATCCATGATTTTAACTACTAAACTTAAAATAATAATAAATCTGTGTCCACTTACAGCCTTTGACTAAACGAACACAAAAGAAACATTTAAAATCAAAGGACCAATATAAAAACAATCTTCCTAGATAAAGTTGTTGAAGTATGGTTGTCTATTCAGAACTTCGCAGTGTGTAGCTACCAGCATTAAAAATAAAACATTTATTCAAATTGTGAATGGATGACATGTTGCCCCTTGGTAATATTATTAGAAAATACGGGATTAGTTTCCACTGTTATGCTGATGATACTCAACTATACATCTCAACAAGACCAGATGAATCTTCTAAATTATCTAAGCTAACAGAGTGTGTTAAATGAAAAAGATTAATTATGTCTCTATTTTTTTCTCTGTTTTTGCCACGGGATTGACATCCCGTGGTAACTAGGGTTTACACAAGCTTCAGTCTGGATCCAGAACACCTGAGAAGAGATGATGCCAACCCCTCAGAGGACCTCAGATGATGCCAACCCTGAAACAACATATTGAACTACCACATTTTGCTATAAGTTTGATTGCATCATATAATAATTACTGTTGATAGTGTTCATCGTCTGTTTGATTACGTCTTTAATTGATTTTTCCGTACATTTCTGCCATATGTACATTAACTGACAATCACCACTGATAAGCTACCACTAAATATTGTAGAAACTTAATTTGCTGTAAAGTTGCTTTGCAACGATTTGTATTGTGAAAAGCGCTATACAAATAAACTTGAATTGAATTGAATTATAAACAGAAAGCAGACAAAGAGCACTTTCTTTCGGCAATAAGCGTGCTGAAAGAAAATCCCTGTGTTGAGTGGTAATTCAATGAAATACAAGTAAAATAAATAAATGCAAACTATTCCTCTCTTCATCAGTGTACAGATATTTGTGCCTAGTGTGAATATCTGAATAGGAATCCATTGTTTCTATTCACAATCTTATCCACATTTGTGCCAAACATTTGCATATAGTGTGAAGTCATTCAAGCAGAGTACTTTTTTTGTTTTATGTTTCCCATACATTGATTTATGTGGTGGACCGCAACAATATCAACACTGACTGCCACAAATAGATTCTCCTTTTCCCTTTACATTTTTATTTTACTGTTTAAAATAGGTAAAATCTTACTTCACCGTAGAGCGGCATTCAGTGCGTTAACTGGCTCAGCACCTCTCTCTCACACAACAGTGAACAAATTAAACATGGCGGTGTTTTCCAATATTAGTTCCTCTGTGTACTTAAAAACAACAACAGAGTGTCTACCTGCTCTCGAAGCAGACGTATCTCTTCCTGCAGCTGCTGGTTCTGCTGATCAGGGTCTGATCTCTGGCCTGTCTGAAGTTCTTTCTTCAGCTGTGCGATATGATCATCTCTGAACTTCAGGATCATGCGGTTGGACTGGATGAATTTCTCCTTCTGAGCCCAGGCAGCTTCCAGCTGAGACACTTTCCCCTGAAGAGCCTGTGGGCAAGACAAGCAGCAGGTGGCAACTGTGGTTAAGCAGAATAGGGAGCATATGCAAATATAAAAAATTATGTTTTATTATTTAATTATATTGGATTATTTTTTTTTTCTTTTTGCTACATAATGGGCTTAAGATTTGGGGGTCAGATGACTGACTCGTTGGCACAGACTTTCAGATGTCAATTAAATTCTTGTATGTGACCCTAGGGGGACTCCACACATTTGACAGAAGAGCAGAAAAGATTGGGAGAGAGTATAATTTACTTGTATGATGGTCCAGAGGTAAGATCTGACACGAGGTGTTCGGATTCGAAGCCTCATAACAGTGTAACGGTAAATTTACATTTTATTGATTTAATTCAACAATGAAAAGCAACTGCACATAAAAGGCACCTTCTTGTCCTCCTGTGCTTTCTTCCAGATGCTCATGGCCTGAATGAACTGCGTCTTATAGGAAAGCTCAGCGTCAGAGTGTGCTGCAACACAAACACCAGGTCAAACAATAAGACATTAACGAATATTATGTCCAGACAGATGGATCGTCTGTGTGAGCTCTGTAACGAGTGTGTACCTGTTTGCTGGTCTGATGGCGTCATCTCAATGACGCGTGCTTGTGAAAGAGCATTTGCGAGCTGCTCCTTTAGTTTTCTCACTTCCGCTTGCAGTTGTCTGACATTTCCCTGAGTGTCCTCATTTACCATAGCCTACAGATAGACACACACACACAGATTAGCCTTCTCGTTGCACCAATTCCTCAAGAATATTAAGATGATGAATGAATGTTTGGATGAATAATTCTGTTGCTCAACCTTATTTTTGATGAGTTTGGCTCTCTGAGCGAACTGCAGAGTGGAGAGCGTCTCTCCAAAGCACTTGGAGCCAGGATGAACGTTAGCGATGATGTACGTCTTAGCATTTCCGCCCAGAGAGTCCTGATCACATGAACAGCAGTTAGACACGATTTACTCATCTGCATATTTACAGACACATTCGTAAAGAGCCCTCACCCTGAGCAGGAAGGTCAGTTTCGAATCTCTGTAACAAATGTGACGGTTCTTCCCATTTGACACATCCATCAGGGCCATGATCACCTGACCAAGACACATCAGTGACCGGTTTATGCTGCTTGCCTCCTAAAGCATAAAAGTCAAAAGGTTACGGTTTAATTTAAAGTAATAACAGTGGAGTAGTCACAACAGTGCAGTCACCATTAAAACAAGAATGGCTAACTAACTAAATGTTGAATTAGGGCATAAATTAGCATAGTTTATAATCTTGAAACAGCCCCACTTTTAAGATTCTTACATTACCACACTAAGAATAACTACGAACGCTGTTACTGTTATTTAACAATGATGTGTAACTGCCAGCCTTGTTACTAAAGCAACAGAAACACTATACAAATGTTATGACATTCACTGTTATGATTTAATGAATCATTCAATTAATGTAGTGTTGGAAATTTTCTGTCAATTACATTAGGGTGGGAAAAAAACTCATTAGCGGTCATAGAGTTGGCTCTTTTTTGAAACAGAATCAAGTTGAATAATATTGTAATAGAACATGCACTGTAATAATGATCAAATAAAGCAATAAGCCCCAAGAAGCCGAGGTTTACAGTGAATTTATAACAGCTAAGGGGCGTTGTGAGGCACGACGCGAAGCGATATATAATTTATATAACCCTTAGCTGTTATAAATTAAAATATAATTTATAACCCTTAGCTGTTATAAATTAAAATATAATTTATAACCCTTAGCTGTTATAAATTCACTTATAATTTATAACCCTTAGCTGTTATAAATTAAAATATAATTTATAACCCTTAGCTGTTATAAATTAAAATATAATTTATAACCCTTAGCTGTTATAAATTAAAATATAATTTATAACCCTTAGCTGTTATAAATTAAAATATAATTTATAACCCTTAGCTGTTATAAATTAAAATATAATTTATAACCCTTAGCTGTTATAAATTAAAATATAATTTATAACCCTTAGCTGTTATAAATTAAAATATAATTTATAACCCTTAGCTGTTATAAATTAAAATATAATTTATAACCCTTAGCTGTTATAAATTAAAATATAATTTATAACCCTTAGCTGTTATAAATTAAAATATAATTTATAACCCTTAGCTGTTATAAATTAAAATATAATTTATAACCCTTAGCTGTTATAAATTAAAATATAATTTATAACCCTTAGCTGTTATAAATTAAAATATAATTTATAACCCTTAGCTGTTATAAATTAAAATATAATTTATAACCCTTAGCTGTTATAAATTAAAATATAATTTATAACCCTTAGCTGTTATAAATTAAAATATAATTTATAACCCTTAGCTGTTATAAATTAAAATATAATTTATAACCCTTAGCTGTTATAAATTAAAATATAATTTATAACCCTTAGCTGTTATAAATTAAAATATAATTTATAACCCTTAGCTGTTATAAATTAAAATATAATTTATAACCCTTAGCTGTTATAAATTAAAATATAATTTATAACCCTTAGCTGTTATAAATTAAAATATAATTTATAACCCTTAGCTGTTATAAATTAAAATATAATTTATAACCCTTAGCTGTTATAAATTAAAATATAATTTATAACCCTTAGCTGTTATAAATTAAAATATAATTTATAACCCTTAGCTGTTATAAATTAAAATATAATTTATAACCCTTAGCTGTTATAAATTAAAATATAATTTATAACCCTTAGCTGTTATAAATTAAAATATAATTTATAACCCTTAGCTGTTATAAATTAAAATATAATTTATAACCCTTAGCTGTTATAAATTAAAATATAATTTATAACCCTTAGCTGTTATAAATTAAAATATAATTTATAACCCTTAGCTGTTATAAATTAAAATATAATTTATAACCCTTAGCTGTTATAAATTAAAATATAATTTATAACCCTTAGCTGTTATAAATTAAAATATAATTTATAACCCTTAGCTGTTATAAATTAAAATATAATTTATAACCCTTAGCTGTTATAAATTAAAATATAATTTATAACCCTTAGCTGTTATAAATTAAAATATAATTTATAACCCTTAGCTGTTATAAATTAAAATATAATTTATAACCCTTAGCTGTTATAAATTAAAATATAATTTATAACCCTTAGCTGTTATAAATTAAAATATAATTTATAACCCTTAGCTGTTATAAATTAAAATATAATTTATAACCCTTAGCTGTTATAAATTAAAATATAATTTATAACCCTTAGCTGTTATAAATTAAAATATAATTTATAACCCTTAGCTGTTATAAATTAAAATATAATTTATAACCCTTAGCTGTTATAAATTAAAATATAATTTATAACCCTTAGCTGTTATAAATTAAAATATAATTTATAACCCTTAGCTGTTATAAATTAAAATATAATTTATAACCCTTAGCTGTTATAAATTAAAATATAATTTATAACCCTTAGCTGTTATAAATTAAAATATAATTTATAACCCTTAGCTGTTATAAATTAAAATATAATTTATAACCCTTAGCTGTTATAAATTAAAATATAATTTATAACCCTTAGCTGTTATAAATTAAAATATAATTTATAACCCTTAGCTGTTATAAATTAAAATATAATTTATAACCCTTAGCTGTTATAAATTAAAATATAATTTATAACCCTTAGCTGTTATAAATTAAAATATAATTTATAACCCTTAGCTGTTATAAATTAAAATATAATTTATAACCCTTAGCTGTTATAAATTAAAATATAATTTATAACCCTTAGCTGTTATAAATTAAAATATAATTTATAACCCTTAGCTGTTATAAATTAAAATATAATTTATAACCCTTAGCTGTTATAAATTAAAATATAATTTATAACCCTTAGCTGTTATAAATTAAAATATAATTTATAACCCTTAGCTGTTATAAATTAAAATATAATTTATAACCCTTAGCTGTTATAAATTAAAATATAATTTATAACCCTTAGCTGTTATAAATTAAAATATAATTTATAACCCTTAGCTGTTATAAATTAAAATATAATTTATAACCCTTAGCTGTTATAAATTAAAATATAATTTATAACCCTTAGCTGTTATAAATTAAAATATAATTTATAACCCTTAGCTGTTATAAATTAAAATATAATTTATAACCCTTAGCTGTTATAAATTAAAATATAATTTATAACCCTTAGCTGTTATAAATTAAAATATAATTTATAACCCTTAGCTGTTATAAATTAAAATATAATTTATAACCCTTAGCTGTTATAAATTAAAATATAATTTATAACCCTTAGCTGTTATAAATTAAAATATAATTTATAACCCTTAGCTGTTATAAATTAAAATATAATTTATAACCCTTAGCTGTTATAAATTAAAATATAATTTATAACCCTTAGCTGTTATAAATTAAAATATAATTTATAACCCTTAGCTGTTATAAATTAAAATATAATTTATAACCCTTAGCTGTTATAAATTAAAATATAATTTATAACCCTTAGCTGTTATAAATTAAAATATAATTTATAACCCTTAGCTGTTATAAATTAAAATATAATTTATAACCCTTAGCTGTTATAAATTAAAATATAATTTATAACCCTTAGCTGTTATAAATTAAAATATAATTTATAACCCTTAGCTGTTATAAATTAAAATATAATTTATAACCCTTAGCTGTTATAAATTAAAATATAATTTATAACCCTTAGCTGTTATAAATTAAAATATAATTTATAACCCTTAGCTGTTATAAATTAAAATATAATTTATAACCCTTAGCTGTTATAAATTAAAATATAATTTATAACCCTTAGCTGTTATAAATTAAAATATAATTTATAACCCTTAGCTGTTATAAATTAAAATATAATTTATAACCCTTAGCTGTTATAAATTAAAATATAATTTATAACCCTTAGCTGTTATAAATTAAAATATAATTTATAACCCTTAGCTGTTATAAATTAAAATATAATTTATAACCCTTAGCTGTTATAAATTAAAATATAATTTATAACCCTTAGCTGTTATAAATTAAAATATAATTTATAACCCTTAGCTGTTATAAATTAAAATATAATTTATAACCCTTAGCTGTTATAAATTAAAATATAATTTATAACCCTTAGCTGTTATAAATTAAAATATAATTTATAACCCTTAGCTGTTATAAATTAAAATATAATTTATAACCCTTAGCTGTTATAAATTAAAATATAATTTATAACCCTTAGCTGTTATAAATTAAAATATAATTTATAACCCTTAGCTGTTATAAATTAAAATATAATTTATAACCCTTAGCTGTTATAAATTAAAATATAATTTATAACCCTTAGCTGTTATAAATTAAAATATAATTTATAACCCTTAGCTGTTATAAATTAAAATATAATTTATAACCCTTAGCTGTTATAAATTAAAATATAATTTATAACCCTTAGCTGTTATAAATTAAAATATAATTTATAACCCTTAGCTGTTATAAATTAAAATATAATTTATAACCCTTAGCTGTTATAAATTAAAATATAATTTATAACCCTTAGCTGTTATAAATTAAAATATAATTTATAACCCTTAGCTGTTATAAATTAAAATATAATTTATAACCCTTAGCTGTTATAAATTAAAATATAATTTATAACCCTTAGCTGTTATAAATTAAAATATAATTTATAACCCTTAGCTGTTATAAATTAAAATATAATTTATAACCCTTAGCTGTTATAAATTAAAATATAATTTATAACCCTTAGCTGTTATAAATTAAAATATAATTTATAACCCTTAGCTGTTATAAATTAAAATATAATTTATAACCCTTAGCTGTTATAAATTAAAATATAATTTATAACCCTTAGCTGTTATAAATTAAAATATAATTTATAACCCTTAGCTGTTATAAATTAAAATATAATTTATAACCCTTAGCTGTTATAAATTAAAATATAATTTATAACCCTTAGCTGTTATAAATTAAAATATAATTTATAACCCTTAGCTGTTATAAATTAAAATATAATTTATAACCCTTAGCTGTTATAAATTAAAATATAATTTATAACCCTTAGCTGTTATAAATTAAAATATAATTTATAACCCTTA